TCTTTTCCATTAGCTATGCATTATTCCCTTGCCCATGTCATGCATTATTATTATTTTTTTCCATACTCTAATTAAGATCCTTCATGCAGTTGCTTATAGAAGAATCATGATATTATATTTTGTTGTGTCTCTAAATTAATGACCTAATGTTGTTTATTGTATCTACAGAATGGCCCTAAATGCCCATTGGACATATTTGGAATTTCTCACAAAAGGGTAAATGATCCGATCCTTCTATTTTGTTTTTATCAGAAGGTTACTTTAGTCAAACAGATAAGGTCAATACATCACTACACTTCACTTTTCATCTTAAATTGGTTGGGATTCCAGGGAAGATGTTGCCTATACTTTTGTAATAACAATAGAAATATTGTTGGGATTCCAGGGAAGATTTGCCTACACTTCACTTTTCATATTCGACAGTCCATGATACTGTGAAGTAATCAAAATTATATTTTTCGAATACTGAACAGTTGAAATGAAATGTGCAACAAGGCATAGTGGGTGAATGATAACTTAATCATCTACACGATAAAACAAATATATTTTTCATTAGCTATGCATTCATCGCTCGCTGATGCAGTAATTTGTTTTCCCTATTCTAATTCTGATCCGCCGTGCAGTAGCTCATAGATGAATCACAGTATTATTTTTTGTTATGCTTCTGAATTAGTAGACCTGATGTTGTTTATTCTATCTATAGAAAGCCCCTGAATCCTCATTGGACAAGTTGGAAATTCACAAGACGGTAAATGATTTGATCCTTCTATTTTGTTTGAATGTAAATATCTGCACTTAGTTCAGTGATGTAATTTCACATGTGTTTCACGTTTTCAGACTAGTTCCAAATTTGGCTTGTATTTCTTATCATATTCTCATTAATAATTTAGAAAATTATAAACAAGCTATTCTTATCCTGGAAAATGGGCTAAGCGGTTTGTTCAAGCTGAGGGAATATATTTCAGCCCTGATTTAATCTTAAATGGAAGATTACTCTGCTGATGTGTGTGTTTTGCTGCAGCCAACGTTCCATTGCTATCTAAAGGGGGAACGGGTAGATGAGCTTGCCGGTGCTTCAGCCAGACACTGGAAAAAAAGACTTGAAAATGTCTACAAGTAATTCTTCTCCCTGTTAATCTACTTTTTCGGGATTTTGTGTATTTGTGAGTGGAGTCATATATTAAGGTTCATGATTGTTGAAGTCTGAGGTTTCAATAAATGTGATCTTTCTATGTGTTTTTTTAATTCTTTCTGATATATGGATGAATGATATAGTAAGTTACTAAACTGACCCTATTGTTGAATTTTTCTCATATGGTGTACTTCCTACTCAATGTATGTAAAGCCCGTCTGGGATGAAGAAAAGGAAAAGGAGAAGACAAGTTAAGAAAGATGAGAATGATGGAGGACTTGTTCAGGTACTTCCAAGTAGGTTTCCTGAAACATCACTGCCTGGAGTGTTGTCGAATCTTCAGGGATCGACTAATGCAGCAACATGCCGTTTTGGGATGTGGGCTTTTGTAAAGGGGATGCTTTTATGTCAAGAGAACAGAGAGAGAATTATGTAGCAACATGCCGTTTTGGGATGTTGGCTTTTGTAAAGGGGATGCTTTTATGTCAAGAGAACAGAGAGAGATTTTCTAAATTGGAAGGTCGTGAATCCAAGTTCAAATGGTTAGAGCATGAAATGGCTGAGAAATGAGTTAGAGGCACTTGTATGTTAAGTTGCGTGATATTATTTTATATATGGTTTAGTTTAGACTTGTGTGGTGCTGAATTTGGAATTTGGATAATTACCTTATGCTTGACTGTCATTTAGGTAATTGTTGTATGTTGACTGCTGTGGTATAATTATGATATGTTTGGCT